GATTACATTGTGGTAGCAATAGAACATTCCAAAGATCTGAGCACCATGAGAATTGAAGAGCTGCAGAGCAGTCTAGAAGCGCAAGAGTTGCGTTTGACTGAGAGAACTTCTGAAAAGGAAGTAGAGCAGCAGGCTCTGAAAGTAACTTCTGATAGGAGGTATCAGAAGCAGTTAGAAGCCAGGAGAAGATCTGATGGTGGTCAGAAGTCAGAAAGCTCAACCTCTGATAGACAAAAGAATGCTCAGAAGGGAAAAGAGAAGTATGACAAGAAGAAAATCCAATGTTACTGTTGTAAGAAGTTTGGTCACTTTGCTAGAGATTGTTGGTCAAACAAGGAGAGAAAATCAGAAGAAGCAAACATAGCCAGAAGTTCTGATGACGAATCTGTGCTATTGATGGCCTCTGAATATGATGATATGGATCTGATAGACTGGTGGTATATGGACACTGGCTGTTCAAATTATCTTACTGGAAACAAGAAATGGCTGGTTGACTTTGACTCTGAAAAGAGAACAAAGATCAGATGTGCTGATGACAAATATCTTAATGCAGAAGGTATGGGAAATGTCAGAGTGATTCTGAACAATGGGAAAACAACATTGATTCAGAACGTGTGGTATGTAACTGGAATCAGAAGCAATCTGATGAGTGTGGGACAATTAATTGAGAAAGGTTTTTCAGTTACCATGAAAGACAATCTTCTGAAGCTATATGACTGCAATCAGAAGTTGATTATGGAGTCAGAATAGGGAAGGAATAGAACATTCAAGGTGAATGTTAGAACTGCAGACTCAGAATGTCTTAGTGCAACAAGTGCTGAGAAGGAAAGTGAGCTGTGGCACAGAAGATTCAGTCATTTGAATTTCAGAAGCTTAAAACATCTGAATTCAAAGAAGTTGGTACATGGAATTCCTGCAATTAAGAAGCCTGAAAAGTCATGCAAAGTTTGCATGGAAGGAAAACAACCACGATTGTCATTTGCGTCAGAAGCTGCTCCAAGAGCAAAACATGCCTTGGGAGTTGTACATTCTGATGTGTGTGGTCTATTTCTAGTAACATCGATTGGAGGGAATAAATACTTTGTGTTGTTTGTTGATGAATTCACAAGAATGACATGGGTATCCCTTATTAAGTTTAAACACGAGGTGTTTGATGAATTCAAGAAGTTCAGAATGAAGGCTGAGAATCAGAGTGGTCAGAAGTTGAAGATTCTTAGAACTGACGGTGGAGGTGAGTATAACTCCAAAGAGTTCCAGAAGTTTTATGAGGAGAATGGAATTGAGCATGAGGTTACTGCTCCTTATACCCTTCAACATAATGGTCTTGCTGAAAGGAGAAACCACACTTTGCTTGATATGGTGAGAAGCATGCTAAAGGAGAAGAAGCTTCCTCAAAAGCTCTGGGGAGAAGCTGTTGCCACTGCAACGTATGTACTCAACTGTTGTCCTACGAAGAAGTTGAAGGAAATAGTTCCGATACAGAAGTGGACTGGAGATAAGCAAAGTGTTAGTCATCTAAAGGTGTTTGGTTCTGTTTGCTATAAACATGTTCTAGAAGACAGAAGACAGAAGTTGGATGATAGAAGCAAAGTGATGATTCTGATAGGGTACCACAGTACAGATGCATATAAGCTCTATTGTCCAGAAACCAATAAAATTGAATTCAGCTGAGATGTGATTGTGAAGGAATCAGAAGTTTGGAATTGGGATAAGTCTCAATCTGATTCTGATGTTAGAACTTCTGAAGAAAGGCCAGAGTTAAGAATTTCTGAAGTTGGAGTAAACTCTGACATTGACTCTGACTTTGATAGTGATTCCGACTCTGGAGAAGACTCAGAAGATGAAGGTGACTATGATGATCCAGACTCTGATGGCAATCCAGATTCTGGTGGCAATTCAGATTCTAGAAATATGCCAGACTCTGAAGATGGTCAAAGCTCTGGAGGAAGTCAATCATCTGAAGCTAGAAACTTTGAAGCTCAAGACTCTGAACAAGTTCAGAGACCACAAAGAATAAGAAACGTCCCCAGAAGATATGCATAATTTTACATGCTGCAAGACACTAAAGTAGACTCTGAAGGAGAAGTTATTCAGTGTGCCATGATAGTAGACTCTGAACCCATAAGTACAGAAGAGGATCTTAAGCAGAAGCTCTAGCTGAAGGCCATGAAAGAAGAACTTGATGCTATAGAGAGAAACAAGACTTGGAAGCTGACAGAACTTCCAAAAGACAAGAAAGCCATCAGCGTCAGATGGATTTTCAAGCAGAAGTTAAAGCCAGATGGTTCAATTGGCAAACATAAAGCAAGGTTGGTAGCCAGAGGATTTCTACAGAAACATGGGTTGGATTATTCTGAAGTGTTTGCACCTGTAGCAAGACATGAAACAATCAGAATGGTGATTGCAATAGCTGCTAACAGGAATTGGCCTCTGATGCATTTAGATGTAAAATCTGCATTTCTGAATGGTCCATTAGAAGAAGAAGTTTACGTGTCACAACCTCCTGGATTTGTGAAAAAGAATCAGGAAGGGATGGTGTACAGATTATACAAAGCTCTATATGGACTGAAACAAGCGCCCAGAGCTTGGAATCAGAAGATTGATTCATTTTTCAAGAAGCTAGGCTTTCAGAAATGTGAGATGGAGTACGGTGTTTATGTTCAGCATACTTCTGAAGGCAATATGACTCTGGTGTGTTTATATGTTGATGACATACTCCTGACTGGAAGTTCTGAATAGGAGATAGCCAAGTTCAAGAAAGTTCTGATGAATAAATTCGAAATGACTGATCTAGGAAAAATGACATACTTTCTAGGGATGGAGTTCAGATATTCTAAGAAAGGTATCATTTTGCATCAGCTCAAGTATGAATTAGAACTTCTGAAGAGATTTGAACTGAAAAATTGCAAGATTGTTGTCACACCTTCTGATACAAATCAAGAACTGGATTCTGACTCTGATGGAAAGGATGTGGACGTTACAATCTTCAAACAGTTGGTTGGTTCTCTGAGGTATCTGTGCAATACCAGACCTGATATTTGTTATTCTGTTGGGATGGTTAGTAGGTTCATGAGTAAACCTAAGTGGTCCCATTACCAAGCTGTTGTCAGGATTCTGAGGTATATCAAGGGAACTCTGAAGTATGGAGTGTTATTTCCTTCTGGAAGAAAGAATGAGTTAGAACTTCTGAGTTATTCAGATTCTGATTGGTGTGGAGACAGAGTTGACAGAAGAAGTACCTCTGGGTACTTGTTCAAATTTCTGGGAGGTCCCATTTCTTGGTGTTCCAAGAAGCAACCTGTTGTGGCGTTATCAACTTGTGAAGCTGAATACATTGCAGGTGTTGTTACTGCATTCCAAGCTGTGTGGATTCTGAATCTGTTGCAGGATCTGAAGATTAAAATAAACAAACCTCTGAAGCTGATGATTGACAACAAGTCTGCAATCAATCTTGCCAGGAACCCAGTGTTGCATGGGAGAAGCAAGCATATTGAGACCAAGTATCATTTTCTGAGACATCAAATTCAAAGTGGAGTGTTAGAAGTTGTACACTGCAGCACTCAGAAACAGTTGGCAGATGTTCTGACGAAAGCTATCAAGACTGATCAATTTCTCAGACTAAGGGATGGAATTGGTGTTACAAGTTTTGATGGAATATGAATTAAGGGATGATATTAGAAGTAATTCATATTTATTAGTTGTACTATTTTCTTAGCCTCTAAGTTTGTTAGAGGGTGTTTTAGCATTTTTATCTTATTCTAGTAATCCTAGTTTTAGCTTATAAATAGGGTAGCAATCATTGCAATTTGTGTGGTTGTGTGTGTAGTTGTCATTCTCTTAATAGAATATTTCCTCTGTTCATCATTTATTCACCTTTGCACCAACATCAATTGCCAAAATATCAATTATAGAATAATCTTTCCCTTACCTCGATTATGTAAAAAAAAATTGAGTTTTTTTTTGTGTGATAGGAGAACATTCTCCTTGGATAACATGATGTTAGGATTTGCCTCCTTTCTCACTCTCTCAAAAGATATGTGGTCTTCTTTTTTTTCTTTTCACATCCTCTCCCTTTTTATAAACTAATCCTGATTTATTTTTAATTCCATTTAACTGTCTTAATTTGTTTTTAGATTTTTCATCTCTTGACATCCCACTAACATATGATTTTCCAACTTTTCTTTAATTCTTATTAATTTTCCACTAACTCTTAATTTCTCAGGTAATTCTACCCCTTATATTCCGATTATTATTAATCCTTTCTTCCTAACACATCTATATTTTATTTTTCTAAATAATAACAAATCATTAAATGTATCAAAATTTGAATTTAGAAATAAAATTTAAATAAAACTTTCGGAATGTTACATTAACTTGTAGATATGCTTAGATGACATTAAAATATTGTATTTAAATCACAAATCTCAAATAATTAATATTTTGTAAGTCTAAAATTATTTTAAAATCATGTAAATATATTTGGATGTGTTTTGTAAATTATTCATGCATATCCTCAAATACATATTCTTAAAGTACTTTTAGTGGGTATGAATTATATTCGAAGATTTATTAACAAAATGTATCGAGTATTATAAAATATACTAATAAATTAATATTATTAAATATTAAATATGTGAAATAAAAGTGTATGTGAAAGAGAGATAATTAACATAAATAAAATATATTTTTCTAATATTGGATACTAACTATAAAATAAATATATTTCTTGGAAATAATTTTCTCAAACAAAACATGCAGCCTAGTGGTTAGGCATGTGGTTTAATACTTTAATTAGTCTTGGTTACAATAATTTGGTCTTTTTTTTAGCTTTTAATATATCAAAGCTTAAAATAATAATAAATAAAATGTCAACGTGACATTTTAAATAATTAAAAATAATAAATCCACGTCATCATAACATGAAAAAAAAGGTATGAGAGGATTGAAAGAGTGCTCTAAAAAATTTTCATGTGCCTTAGAAGTCACTTACCAGTCCAAAATCATTGACTCAGCTGGCCTACTGCGTCTGGCTGATTCTCAGGCAAAGTCTCCCGGAATGCTGGGATATCATAATATGTCTCAAGTAGTCTTGAAAGAATAGGGAACTCATTCTGCTTTGACAGTTAAGGAAAAAGTAAGTCATCTCATTAATTTTGGCAATGCTATGTGAGCCATGACTGAAGAAAAAAACAGGTTTCAAAATTTTGAGTTCCACAATGACTGGTTTTATCTTTGAAATTTTGTAATCAAACAGATCAGAACTAAGACTAAGATTGACTCATCTTTTACACATTCATACTATTAGCTTATTCCCACACAAAATATACACTAAAGCATAGAATATTACCATGTCAATGTTGAATCTCTTAGATGCAGCATGTAACTGGGGTGCTAAAAATATATCCGCCTGCAAATGATAATGAACATGTTAGATTATACATCAGTGATCAAACATTCAAATAATTGACATTGGTATCCAAGATCTTTGGGCTACTAGACCCTTTTGAAAGGATTTATTTATTTCTTTTATTAGTTTCAAACGAATAAACTCCAAGGATTTGCAAAATACCATCAAAACTTCGTCTCCAGTAGCATACCTCCCAGTGTGTTCTTGCAATAGCTTTTCAAGTGCTGAAACACATTCAAATGTAACTACATTATAGTTAGATTAAGCCAACAACACACTCAAACTAGCATCTAGCAAGGAAAGCAAATTAGTCTAATCTCACCTGTGAAGCCTTTTCTAATTACACTCTGGACCCATGGAAGTTTATCATCCCGGCTAACTCTTTTGTCGATGTACTTCTGCAAATAGAAAAGCAAAATAGCGACAAACTTATCATTTGCAGTCGACAACTTCAAAATGAATAAGTAAAGAGGTGACATAATGCATACCAGAGTATCTAGGTTTTGAAGAGGTTGTATCAATGAAGAAACAATATTCACAGCCTGTGAATGAAATCATTAGAAAGGAATCCATTTATCACATGAAAATGAAACTCTGACTCGAATTCAAATTCAAAATTGATATCATGTGATCCGAATTAGCATGAATTTAACAGTGATAAAAGGCAATATATTATTTGATTTTGGAAAAATTTACCTGGAAATTGATTGCTCTTTTGTGGATATCAGTAGGGAGTAAAGGATGTTGAGGATACTTATCTTCCAAATACTGCGTGCATAGATAGATAGATAGAAAACATGAAAATGAAGAGATAAATTAAATTCATAAATCAAACTAAGGTTTCAAGATTTAGAAAAATGAATGAAAATCACAAGAGAGTGACCATGATAATTGCAAAGGAGTCAAAAATGACAGCAGAGCCATCGACAAGAATAGGAACAAAACCAACAGGGTTGAGCTGGAGAAATTCTGAATGAAGATTTGAAAATGAAATTAACATAATATAGTGTTAGAATTGATAATACTATAAAGTATGGTGTAAGGAAAAGAGACCAGGATGAGATTGTTCTCCTTTCAAGAGATTAACGGGTTTGTAGTCAAATTTGAGTCCTGAATGATTGAAATGATGTAATTAGTTATAAATAAACAAGAAGAGTGAGTTTGAAATCGAGTAATTACCTTTGAGGTTGAGAGCAATTCGGACACGGAAGGAACAAGAACTCACCCAATATGAATATAGAGTGAGCTTATTGTTGCTATGTTGAGCTTCTTCACCAACACTTGCGCTAGCCTTGTGCGAATCAACTAAACATAATGAGTTGATGAGGTAACAGTTACTAAAAACGATTAAAAGAAGAGGCATATACCATTGATGAAGCTACTACCGATGCTAAAGTGCCGTGCTTAAACTTCCAACTTATGATAGACACGAATAGTCTTAGGGGGTTGGTATATATATATATATATATATATATATATATATATATATATATATATATATATATATATATATATATATATATATATATATATATATATATATATATATATATATATATATATATATATATATATATATATATATATATATATATATATATATATATATATATATATATATATAAACTTTGTGTATTATATATACATTAAATTAGAAATGGTGTATTTGCACAGGTAAAGATGGTCGGGGCGGAGAAGAATGCTTTTTGGTATGATGAAGAGGGTAAACATATAATTTTAGCACTTTAACATGTCAATAAAATATAGAAAAACGGTGATGTGAGTTATGGTGAAAAAATATTTGTACCTAGCGTGGGAATATATATATATATATATATATATATATATATATATATATATATATATATATATATATATATATATATATATATATATATATATATATATATATATATATATATATATATATATATATATATATATATATATATATATATATATATATATATATATATATATATATATATATATAAGGTGGTTAGAGTTGTTCCATGTTTCCTGACGTGAGGCGTAGGAGACTGTTAAATTAAATCTTACGGTGGATGATCAACGAATAGCAAAGTTTGAGTGTTCTTTTTCTTAATCGAAGGTGTGCTTGGTCTCTAGAAATCCAGTGATTACATCTTGGATTGGACCCTTACATGATTGAGTCTTTCTATCTTTTGGACCTATGGTCAACCCATCACAATTTTTCCCAAGGTTTTGCCATTGTTGAGGAATGTTAAAACCTGAGATTACCTTGTTCGTAAGTGCTTTTACAAAACAATCACGAGTTTAGTTCACTTGTAAGATTAACTTGAAAAATCTCAGAAGTAATATGTTCAAAACAAATGTAATACGAAAATTTTGTGAATTAAATGTGAATGTTTGTATGAAGACAAAATAAACACAAACTTAAATAGCAAGAACACATGGATCAAGATGATAAATGAAAAATACAATAAATGACATTAAATAGAAAATACAGTAAAGGACAATTAAATCAAAATGTTTCAATTAAGGTACATATAAACAATGAAAGTAAGGGATGCAGACTCATACATGTTCCTTAGAAGTTGTTTTACTCTTTGACTCAGGTACTCCAGTTTTATAGAAAAATATATTAATTTTGAGACCTTTATTACAATGTATGAGCCTGCTATTTATACTAAACTAAAGATAATTATCTCCGACAGTTTATTTCTAGAAAGTGGACACGTATCAACAACATGCACTTCAATCTTCTGAAACATCTTCACGTTGTCAGAACTTACAATTTACGGAAAACCATTATCCCGCGCTCTTAACTGCTCCAAGCATATAATTGTCTTCTTGTCTAATGTAGTATGTGAAAAAAAGTTGAGACAACTTCTTTCAAGACTTTGAATTCCAAAATGTCTTAAGTCCTTGACGCGTGTCAAATGCTTTGACTTTGATATGGTGTCGAAAGATCAACTAGATCTCTTCTTGATATTCTTCCCAACAATGTTCATCACGCTAGTCAAAATGCTTCAGTCGACGTGTTTGTTCATGTCGAAGTTTGTTAGTAAATACTAACACTTAGTATTTTCTCAATGTAGCCCTCATTGTTGACTTTTCTCCAACTAGAAATTCCAGGCTAACAAAAGCCCTCCCCCATACCATTTTCGATCATGTGTCAGTTGGAAGAAAGATGACGGTTTTTTGTAACACCTCGACATTGTTCCAATAGACTATACATGTCACATCAAATAGGCGTTTTACTATTGTTATTATTTTTATTTGTTGATCATCATGGCCACTTTCTACTAAACAGTCACGTCACATTTGTGCGTGCAGCTGATCATCATCATCCCCAATTTCCTAGAAGCCTAATGAGTCATTAACTTAAATAAAATTGAAAAGAAATCAATTAATTTAATTATTATCATCTTTGCTCATGACCCTTAGTGCCAACTCTCAATCTGAACGTGCCATTTTTCCAAAATATTGGAGGGAAAACTAAAACGTTCTCTTACCCTTTTGGCTATTTAAATGCTTATTCATCAAATTGTCTTCTCTTTCACCATTTCCTTCTCTAAAAAAAACACACTACTATAAAATACACCTTCGGTAACACTAATACTATTATGTTTATGTTGTCTACCATTGTAATATCGCAAACTAGATGCAACTGATATATTTTATTTTTATTTTTGAAAGTTATTTAATCACGGTAGATGTAAACAACTGTAGTGATAAAGTAAGTGTTACAAGTTTCGAATCCTAGCAACTACATTTTTTCCATTTTTTCTATTACAAAAAACGCATGTCACTTAAGTTCATAAATAAATAAAAAATTGAAAACTATTTAACCACGATTTTACTATACAACCGTTGATATAAGATCTACATTTCACTGCGGTTGAAATTCACAACCGTGGTCAAAGGTTTTCCTAATTATAAAAAAAAAGATTCATTATTTCCTTCATAACATTGCCCTAAGAGAACTAGCGAACCAGCGAACCAGAGACGACAACGATAGTGATAGCGAAATCTTCATCTTCACAATCTTCGTTCATTTGAATCTTCATTCTTGATAATCTTCACTATCTTCATTCGTGGTCTCTTCCTCTTCGAAGTACGGTATATTTCGTGCAAACTTCACTCTCTTTCTCATCTTCCTAATTCTTGATCATTTTCACTATCCTTATTCTTGTTTGATTTTGTGGTCTGTTTCATACAAAATTCACATGCTTTATGTTTTGTTGTTTGATTTAAAAGTGAATTAAAATATTATAACTTTGCTATAATGGATATGCATATGCTTAAGTTTTAGAGTTGTATTATTGTTATAAATATGCTTCAATTTTTCAATATGCTTTAGGTTTAGATTTTGTTGTGTCGTTCACAATATTGTTTTTATATAAATTTCAGAATTTATTATGGATCGTAGTTGGATGAAAGCTGATAGATTAGATCCGGTATATGAGAAAGGAGTTCTTGAATTTGTTGAATACGCTGATCAAAATGTTCACGACAATAATGGTATCTTTTATTTTCCTTGTGCCAATTGTGGGAATATAAATGAAGGTAAAAAGGATGAGATATTCCATCACTTATGTTGTGATGGTATATGTCAAAATTATACAATATGGACATGGCATGATGAAGTGGAAAAAAGCGAAACATGGCGTCACAAAGGTGATGAAGATGGGTATATGGATGACCCACTAGAAGATATGTTCTATGATATTAGAGAATCTTGTTTTAAGAAATCCCATGTTTATGATATTTTTTATAGTGATAAGGACATCCCTTTATATAAGGGGTGCACACATTTTACACGATTGTCTGTGGTGTTAAAATTGTTTAATCTAAAAGCGAAAAATGAGTGTTCGGATAAAAGCTTCACGTAATTGCTTTATTTGCTAAAACAAATGCTACCAGAAGATAACAATTTTCCTGATCATTGTTATGAACCTAAGAAGATATTGTGTCCAATGGGTTTGGAGTATATCAAAATGCATGCATGCCCTAATGACTGTATATTATACAAGAAAAAGTATGAAAATTTGGATCAATGTCCAGAGTGTGGGGTGTCGCGTTACAAGCTGAAGGACAACAATGGTGATGACAATGACAATGACAATGTTAGTAGGAAGATGCCTCCTTCTAAAGTGTTATGGTACTTTCCAATAATTTCAAGATTCAAGAGACTTTTTACTAATACGAGTGACGCAAAGAATATTAGATAGCATGCAGATGAAAGAAAATGTGATGAAAACATACGCCGTGTACTTGATTCTTTGCAATGGAAGAAAATTGATTCGTTGTTTCTGGATTTTGCCACTGAGTCAAGAAAACATAGGATTGATCTTGCCACCGATGGAATGAACCCCTTCGATAATATAAGTACTAACCATTCTTTGTGACCTATTCTTCTCACGATTTACAACATATCTCCTTGGTTGTGCATGAAGCATAAGTATATGTTATTAAGTATGATGATTTCTGGACCAAGACAACCTGGAAACGACATAGATGTTTATCTAAGTCAATTAATTTAAGATTTAAGACTTTTGTGGGAGGAAGGCATTGAAGTTAATGATGCATAATCTGGTGAAAAGTTTAAGATGCGTGCAATGTTATTTTGCACAATCAACGACTTTCCTACATATGGTAATTTGGCTGGATATAGTGTCAAAGGACACAAAGTGTATCCTATTTGTGAATTTGATACCTGTTATTACCAACTTGAGTTTGGGAAAAATATAGTTTACTTTGGGCATCATAAATTTCTAAAACCCGATCATTCTTATCGTAGATCACGGAAGGCTTTTAATGGAAAGTAGGAGTTTGATATCGCTCCTAAACCTTTAACCAAGGGTGAAGTTTATCAATGACATAAACCCATTAACGTTGTCTTTGGGAAGAGAGAAAAATAAAAAGGGCCACTTGAGAAAAACATATGGAAAAAGAGGTATGTGTCCTTTGATCTTCCATATTGGTCAAGTCTCGACGTAAGAAATTGTCTTGATGTGATATATGTGGAGAAAACTATGTGTGATAGTTTGATTGGAACACTTCTAAACATTCTAGGAAAGACTAAAGATAGTAAGAAATCTCGTCTCGATATGAAGACGACGAGTATATGAAAACAATTGGCTCCAATAGAAAAGGGAAAAGAACTTATTTATCTCTGACTTGTTACACTCTATGTATAAAGGAAAAAAAAATTTTGCGAGTGTTTGCATGGTATCAAATTTCCCCAAGGTTACTCATCAAACATCAAGAAACTTGTATCAATGAACAACTTCTACTAGTGGCTATTCGTGCCATCCTACAAAATAATGTGAGAGTAATTATAACTAGATTGTGTTTGTTCTTCAATGCCATATGTAATAAAGTTATTGATTTCAAAAAATTAGAAGAATTAAAAGATGAAGTTGCCATAATCTTGTGTCAATTGGAGATGTATTTTCCTCCGTCATTTTTTAACATTATGGTTCACTTACTTGTTCATCTAGTCAGAGAAATCAGAATTTGTGGTCTAGTTTATTTAAGGTGGGTGTATCTAATAAAGCGATACATGAAGATATTTAAAGGATATACAAAGAATCATCACCGAATGGAAGCTTCGATTGTTGAAAGGTATATCACAGAAGAAGCTATTGAGTTTTGTACAAACTATTTTTCAAAAGCAGAGTCTTTAGGAATTCCAAAGTCTCGTCATGCTGACACTGAAGGTAGAGAGATATTTAAGGTTTAAATGTTAAGTCAATGGATCAGTATGTAGTTATTCCGACACATTTCTATATATTGAATAATCTTGAAGAAGTTCAACCTTACGCGGCTACTCACAAAATACTTTTAAAGAAAAGATACCCACGAATGAGTGACAAGTTGTTGTTGATCGTGCATAACAAGAAATTCTTAGATTGGTATAATAAAAGGATACCAAATGATCATAAAGCATTCGAGACAATTAAATGGTTGTCGTAGATGCCAAAATTTAATGTGATAATTTGGAATGCATATGGCATTGGTCATTATACCTTTTATACAAAATCAAAAGATGATCGTAGTACAATGCAAAATAGTGAGAATATGGTTGAGACTGAATCCATGTATTTCTCTAGTTCGAACGATAAGAATCCAATATTGGCATCTAGTGTGTTCTATGGTGTCATTGAGGAGATTTGGGAGATTGATTATTTTATCTTCAAAGTGTCTTTCTTTAAGTGCAAGTGGATTTTCAATAATATTAATGGTGTACAAACGGATGACTTAGGATTCACCAGGGTTGACCTTGGCAAGGCAAATATAAAATAGAACCACTCATCATGCTTTCACAAGAAAAAAACATTCTATGTAACCGACCCTTCGGACACATCGAGGAAATGGTCAATCATTCTCCGAGGAAAAGCCATTCCTAGTAGTGATGAAAGTTTTGATATACCTTCTACTTCTTCTTACACAACAAAAGTGCCTACCACATATGACGAAGTTGATAGAGATGATGTGCATGTTATTCGTATCGATCATAATGAAGGCATATGGGAAAATTAACAAGTATATATATATATATATATATATATATATATATATATATATATATATATATATATATATATATATATATATATATATATATATATAATGTTTGGTTCTTCATTCAATGTATGAATTTGATGTAATACAATGCAATTATTGTTATGATACAATTGTTATTTCTGTTCTGATACGATTCATAAAAATACAAGTTAAAAAATGAAAAAATTTCAAAAAGTAGAAATATATTTTTTAAAACAGTTGATAATTAACGATGATTGTTAAATATGATCGTGGTTGTAGAGTGAACGTTGTCCAGAATAATATATATACCAAAAAGGCGTTGTTGAGAATCGAACCTGGGACCTTTAATATAATACAACAGTTAGTTAAAGCAACTGTGGTAATATGTGAGGCGCTTTCAGGTTTTCTACAACAGTCATACGACCATGATTGTAAGTAATTCATATACAACCATACACTACGTAACAATTGCGGTCCTACGTAATAATATATCTTTTACAACTGTTGTTGTATATGTTTTCTATAGTACTGGCAAAACTCTAGAGAGCTTCTGCAACTTTTGTTATCTCTTTCCATACATTTCTTTCCCAACAACTTCTGAGAATAAAAAATGGCTCCAAAAAGTTCATTCAAGTATGCTTCACACGCTCCCTTTGATGCTACCATTAACAAACCCCTTCTTATAGATGATCGCTCCTACGTTCCGGAGCCTCCCATGGAAGATGGTATAAGAAACACCTGGTATTCTGACGTACTAATTCCTTACTCCATTCAGGTTCCACTTTCGTTTTCATGGGTCCCCTTCCTAGGCATGTTAAGAAACCCCATGTTCTGAAACATTTCTTCCCTAGTTACCCTTCATATGAACCCTTGGTGTTTCGAGGTGAACCTTTTGATTTTAGTTTCTTTAAGAATAGGGTATTTCGTTCATCTCTTCTGATTGATGGAAATTCCTCTTATATTCAGTGGTTGAATAGGGTTCAACAAAAGCAAAAGCACTTATGGAAAGATCAGTACTTTTTTGACATGATACAACTCTCAAGAATTGGCTCTAGGTACAACCCTTACATGCTTCTTGCAACCATGTGTTTTTGGGACACTTCAACCAATACATTTCACCTTCCTTATGGGATGGTAACCCTTATGTTCTTTGACATCATCGGTATTGTTGGTCTTCGACCAATTGGAGAACATTTTGAGCCTTAAATAATCACCAAGGCTAAACTTAGATTTTTTTACCTGCCTACAACATATTCATTGACGAGCATCATACTTGAACAAAGCATGTGGGGGATTATGAACACATAGCTTTCCTGACTTACTGCTTTCTCTATAGGTCTTCTGCTCTCGCTTTGTCCATGTGGCCAAAAGATTTATACCTCTGGTACCCGACTTCATCAGGGGAGGAATATCAGCCTCAGCAAACTGATCTTATGTTGTCTATATGGATCCTTGGGGTTAGCATATGGAGATCTCAAGAAATGACAAAATCCTAAAAGTCTCCAGGTAGGTGGCCCTATCTAGCTCCTGCAGTTATGGCTTAACTCCACTTTCAAACTTTACCTGAAATCTATGATTCCTCCTAATTAAGAGGTGGGAGTCAAATTCCTAAGGCTTGTTCAACTCACTCCAAATGATGGGGAAAATGTGGCTAAAAACGTTTGAGACTTACTTTAATATGTTTTATAGAAGTAAAACATTTTTTTGACTATGGCACCTTTTTCCCATCGACAATGTAGACCTGCATGGTTCAAGAAACCATTTCCACATCCCTCACCTAATTAGGAGAGTGAAATTTATGACATCTTGCTAGAATGCTTCTAACCCGCTCCTCTGTGGATGAAACTCACCTCCCCTAAAATGGGGATATGGGCAGCTATTTGTGATCCAAACTTGGCGGCTAGATAGTTTGGTTTAAATCAACTACTACCCAAATCCTTGATTCCAAAAGCATACCCCATTTTCTTTTCTACTAATGAACCAAGCGAGGATTGGCTTGAGAGGTGTAAGGAGTTCTTTAGCAAGAAGAATTACATCCTCAATTCTCTCGGACTCTAGGTCTCTTTCTATTGTACCAAAGAGTTTGAGAATTGGTGATTTCTTTATTACCAAAACGTGTTAGATTCTTTCCTTATGGCCCATCGCCTAGACAACGCTTTCTACTTTCTATGGAACTTGGACAAGAAAAAGAAAGGTAAATCTTGCTTACTATTTTTAAGATGTAAGAAACACTAACGATAAACTTGCCACACCTTGTCTTAATTTCCTCTTGGGCAAACCCATTTCTGTCAACCTATTACAGGTGTTTTCCATAATCCAAAATTATCGATCGTTGTCTCTC